GTAAATATTTGTGACATCATTTTTTTATCACTGTAAATACTTGTGACATCATTTTTCCACCACTGCCTTGGGCCCACAGCACAGACACCCCCATTCCAGGCAGATTGCACTGAGTGATTGCTGGCCTGCATCTCTGGGGTGCAGCCCCCAGGAGACAAGCAAAAGACCCTCAGTTACAACTACTATTAAGGTCTCATCCTTTGATGCCTCCAAGCTGGGGAGAAAACATTAACCCTGACATAACCCCAGAGCTGTTGTGGGCAGCCCAGGAGTGACAAGATACAAGCTACAGTCAGCACTCAAGTGAGAGAGGAGGCCACAATTTCATAGCATTGAGCAGGAGCACGGCTGCAACCATGAGGAAAAATAGGGGAGCCACATGACTGAGCAAGAGCCTGACAACTGACCACCACACCTACGGGTCACCTACTAGATCATGCCCAAAGCTTCAACACTAAGAAATCTCACTAACATACCCTCATTAAACCAAAGACAAGTCAGCTACAAATAAAGGCCCTGCACAAAGCTACAGCCCTGTGAAAACATCCAGAAAAGAAGTCTACTTATTGATTGAACTCAAGCTACCCTCCCATATGCAGAGATGAGAAAGAACCAACGCAAGAACTACAGTAACTCAAATAGAGTTTCTTATGTCCTCCAAATAATCACAACTAGTTCTCCAACAAGGGTTCTTAACCAAAATGAGTTAGCTACAATGACAGAAATATAATTCAGAATATGGATAGAAGGGAATTTCATTGAGATTCAGGAAAACAGTAAAACCTAAACCAAGGAAACTAAGAATCACAAAGGATACAGGAGCTGAGAAACAGTCAGTATGAAAAAGAACCCAATGGACCTAATAGATCTGAAAAACACACTGCTAGAATTTCACAGTGCAATCACAAGTATTAACAGCAGAATAGACCAAGCTGATGATAGAATCTCACGACTTGAAGACAGGCTCCCTGAAATAAAACAGTCAGACAAAAGTGAAGAAAAAAGAATGAAGAGCAATAAACAAAACCTCCAAGGAATAGGGGATTGTATAAAGATGCCAAATCTAGGAATCACTTCCATCCTTAAAAGAGACAGGGAGAAAGCAAACAACTTGGGGAAAGTAATGGATAAACCCACAAGAGAACTGAAGACAGCGGTGTGAAGCAGCAGTGCAGGCTAATGATGAGTGAAGAAGAGAGCACAGTGCCGATTTCTAGAGGAAGAGGAAGGAAACTAATGTGATATGGGAGTGAAAATGGAATACAGAAAAGCAGGGAGGAAAGGGGAAAGTGTGTCAGCCACCAGAACCAGCATAAATGTATGTATGGTTTTAACTATACATAAAAGATGTATATTTTACTTAAGTTTAGGAGACTACCTTCATATGGGAGTGTGCTCTGGAATTCCGAGAGCCAGGAAACGAATGTGCCAGGTGCCAGAATCAGTTAACCATCAACATGTGTATTCTACACTTCAATCTAGATGCCGCTCCTCTGTCAGGTATTTCTACAAGCCACCATTTCCTGACTGAATATAAATAGGACTTTGAAATGAGGTGAGACAATTTTTCAGCCCCTCCAGAATTTATGACAGAATTTTGTTTTGTTTTTTGTTTTTTGTGTTTTTTTTTAGGCTGCCTAAAAAAATATATGCAAGCAGAATGGAATTTCAATGTAAAATAATTTATTGTTATTTATACCTGATGTGCAAATTTTGTATTGGGATTTCCTAAATAATTATTAATCTTCTCTTTTCCTCAATTATACACAACCATCTCCTGCTCTCTTAAATTCCTTGGTTCATGTTGTATTTTTACCTGATTTTGACCAACTTCCTTCCTTCCTTCCTTCCTTCCTTCCTTCCTTCCTTCCTTCCTTCCTTCCTTCCTTCCTTCCTTTCTTTCTTTCTTTCTTTCTTTCTTTCTTTCTTTCTTTCTTTCTTTCTTTCTTTCTTTCTTTCTTTCTTTCTTTCTTTCTTTCTTTTTGCTTTAAGTTCTGGGATACATGTGCAGAACGTGCAGATTTGTTACATAGGTATATGTGTGCCATGGTGGTTTGCTGCACCTATGAAGTCGTCACCTAGGTTTTAAGCACAATCTTTTTTAATCCTGTCTGTCATTGACGGGCATTTGGGTTGGTTTCTCGTCTTTGCTATTGTGAATAGTGCTGCAATAAACATACACGTGCATGATTTTATAATAGAATGACTTATGTTCCTTTGGGTATACACTCAGCAATGGGATTGCTGGGTCAAATGGTGTTTCTAGGTTCTAGATCCTTGATGAATCGCCACACTGTCTTCCACAATGGTTGAAGTAATTTACATTCCTACCAACAGTGTGAAAGCTTTCCTAATTCTCCACAGCTTCACCGGCATCTGTTATTTCCTGAATTTTTAGTAATTGCCATTCTGAGTGGCATGAGATGGTATCTCATTGTGGTTTTGATTTGCATTTCTCTAATGATCAGTGATGTTCAGCTTTTTTCATGTTTATTGGCTGCATAAATGTCTTCTTTTGAGAAGTGTCTGTTCATGTCCTTTGACAGCTTTTTGATGGGGCTTTTCTTTTTGTAAATTTGTTTAAGTTCTTTGTGCATTCTGGATATTAGACCTTTGTCAGATGGGTAGACTGCAAAAATTTTCTCCCATTCTGTAGGTTGCCTGTTCTCTCTGATGATTCATAGTGTCTTTTGCTGTGCAGAAGCTCTTTAATTACATGCCATTTGTCAATTTTAGCTTTTGTTGCAGTTGGTTTTGGTGATTTCATCATAAAATCGTTGCCCATGCCTATGTCCTGAATGCTATTGCCTATGTTTTCTTCTAGGGTTTTTGTCGTTTTGGGTTTTACATTTACGTCTTTAATCCATCTTGAGTTAATTTTTGTATTAGGTGTAAGGAAAGGGTCCATTTTCAGTTTTCTGCATATGGAAACCAGTTTTCCCAGCACCATTTTTAAAATAGGGAATCCTTTCCCCATTCCTACAGTACTGAGAAAGAGAATCTCTTTTCCAGTTTCCGATTTTATTTTATGAAAGAAATGTGTTAGTTTTACTGACATTTTACAGAGTATTAATCAAAATAATGATCAATTACTATTGTTAATAATTTTATATTTTGTGCTTTAAATATATAAAAATTAAATGTATTAATATGATTTGCCAATGCATCACATTTTGAAATTTATTCAGTAACATATATTTTCAAAAAGGAAACACTATGCGGATAAAAGATAATCCACATGTTTTGGGATTCCAACCTTATTACTTCCCTCCATTGCAAAGGCAGATCTCTCACAATTTTCTATATGTGTTACCTTGATTTTTCTTTTCGGATTCACTCTTTTACCTACCCCAGTATGACTTCAGCTGAGTAATTCTATCAATCCAGCTCTCAGTAAGCTCTGCACTGTCATCTATTTTTTTGCTGTAGTGCTCAGTTTTAATTCATATTTTCCATAAGTCTGTTGATTCTCCTTCTAAGCACATTTATTTTTTCAATACGCTTTTATCACCACTCCCTCTTCTCCTTCTGATATTAAGGTATTCCACGTCTGTTTTCTTTGTGTCTCTTCTGTTTCCCCACTTTAATGTTGGAAGGTCCTCAGAATCCAGTTTAAGTCTTTTTTTTTTCTCTCCCCACTTGCTCCCCACATTACAGCCTTCATTTTTGGCCTTTCCATTGCCAGTTAGGAACTTCCAGATATGGTATTCCTTGGAAACTGCAAACTCATATATCTGACTGGCAGTGTACATTTCCAATTACATGTTTGAAAGTCAGTTTACAGAGAATATCTCTGCTTTTAATTCCAGACATGTCTCAATTTACCTTCTGCTATGCATAATTCATTGTTTTTTTTACTTCCTCACGTTACAGCAGTTAGCATAACTGATATTAATTCAACATTATTATTGTTTTTAGATTTCTTTCTGGATAAAATCAAAGATACAAGAGAACAGGAACTGTATTTTTTATGTTCCCATTTATATTTTGAAGGCAACATATAACCGGGTATAAAAAAATGTATTTTTCCATATTTGAATAAAATTATGATAGGTAACTTAACTAAATCATCTATTTTTAAGTCAGGTTGTGCAGTCAGGCTTGGCATTTAATCTTAAAGAATAAACAAACAGTGCTCACTCCTGCAGCACATATACTAAAATTGGAACCATACAGAGAAGATTAGCATGGCCCCTGTGCAAGGATGACATGCAAATTTGTGAAGCGTTCTATATTTTTAGCAAACTATTGCAAGAACAGAAAACCAAACACTGTATGTTCTCACTCATAGGTGGGAATTGAACAATGAGATCACTCGGACACAGGAAGGGGAACATCACACACCAGGGCCTGTAGTGGGGTGGGGGTGGCGGGGAGGGATAGCATTAGGAGATATACCTAATGTAAATGATGAGTTAATGGGTGCAGCACACCAACATGGCATATGTATACATATGTAACAAAACTGCACGTTGTGCACATGTACCCTAGAACTTAGAGTATGATAAAAAAAAGAATAAAAAACACAAGAAATTTTGATAGTAAAAATTTAATGAAAAAGGAAATTAATATACTGGCTAAGAATATGAAGAACATATGTTATTACATTAACCACAATGTAAAGGTACACATTATATTACATACAAATAAGTTAAATCTTAAAAATAGTTAAATAAATAAATATTTAAATAAACAGATGACACTGCACTCCAGCCTGGGCGACAGAGCGAGACTCTGTCTCAAGAAAAAAAAATAAAAATAAATAATAAATAAATAATAAATAAATAAATAGATGAACAGAGACATCAGCGTGATCATCTGTAAAGGACTAGTGCCTGCACAGGCAAACACGATGCTTTTTTACACTCCTGAAAACATTAGAAAATTTTCTTTCAACTCGTGGTGGTTATAGGAGAAATTAGTCTTTGAAATGGAAGAACTCATAAAAGTGTGAGATGATGTGTCAGTCAATGAGGATCATGTCCATGTTGAACCAGTTTTCAATTCTTCTTCCTTAATCTTTTTTGCAAGTTTGTTGAAAAAGAGAGGGATCTCATGATTTCTGCTCTGACAACCTCCCAGGCACAAGGGCTGTATTTCTTCTCCATCAGATAGAGAGTGATTCTTTGGAAGTATTTCCTCACAGCCAGGATGGAGTCCTCATTCATCAGTGGAGTCTCTCCCACCCCGGCCTCCTGTATCACACAGGCTTCCAAGTCACTCAGTTGCTGGTAAAGTTCGGTGGAAAATTTTTCTAGGAGGTTCTGTTCCCAAGCAGCAGATGAGTCCTTTGTGCTGAAGAGATTGAAGGTCTGCTGGATCATCTCATGGAGGACAGACATGGCTTGAGCCGTCTGGAACTGGTTGCCATCAAACTCCTCCTGGGGGAATCCAAAGTCATGTCTGTCCTTCAGACAGGAGAAAGGAGAGATCCTTCCCATTTGTGCCAGGAGTATCAAGGCCCTCCTATTACCCAGGCTGTGGGTCTGGGGCAGATCACAGCCCAGAGAGCAGATGGATTTGTAGCTGAGCACCACCACGGCCATCAGTAAAGAAAAGGACAGGGCCATTGGGATGTTGCAAATATTGCTAGGCTACTTGAGGTGGGTAACCTTGAACCTTGGCCTCTAGGTTTTCTGAAGACTTTGCTCTGTGCATGGATCTTAAATAGTGAACATACTAATTTCCATTTTCTAAATGCTCTAGTTTTACTTTCTATCTCTGTTTTTGCTTTCTTTATTCACTCTCTACATGTGTTGAAAGATGTTTTTCATCATTGCCTATCTTTCCCCTGCACTCAAAACTTTTTATGGTATTATTTTCTAATTGAAATCTTCATGAACTTTTATTAACACAGATTTGGCATATCTATTTATGTATACTGTGTATACCTCTACTTCAGAGATAAAAACTACAAACTTTGCTCTTTTTATTCAATGTAAAGTTAAGAATGACAGAAAAGTTAAACTAAAATCTAAGTTTAAAAGCTATTGACATTTAATTTAATTTGAGGGGTATAACTGTGGAATAACTTTTAATGTAATTTGTCCATGTATATTTTGTTGTATCAAATTAAATATGCAAAATAAAAATCTGTATAAATACACATTAATCATATGAATGTAATTACATACTTAATCATTCAAAACTTCTAAAATTATGAATCAATAATTTTTAAACATTTTTCTCAAAGCTTTGAAGTTTGCTTTATATGAGAAAATAATTTGTAAACTTCACTAGCTGCAGTATTCATGCAGATATTGCCAACACTTTTTTCTTTTCAGTACTTGACATAAATATTGATGTGTTGAATAACTTTAGTAGAAATAAATCCTGTAATATAAGCTATGTAATTCTCAAAGTCTACAAAACATCCTGAAAAACTGCGGATCAAACATAAGTAATAACCCTAAGATAGTCAATGGCAGCCCAAAGTTATGCGGGCTAAAGCTACAAATTGTGATAAGACTTTAAGACCCAGCAAAAAATGGACTGAAAGTCCTCCAATCACAGTCATCTATTTGACATAGGTTTGTAACACTGGTCTTGCAAATATTTTGTGTATCTTCATGAACTCAATATCAGTGCTTCTCATGTGATACACAACAAAACCCAATGAGAAAGATGTATATTAAGCAATCAAATTTTGTTGAATAGAGTTGTTGTTGGAGAGTCACAAACTATTGTAATATGTCAGACTTGTTTATACTATGAGAACTAATTTTTGTACCCTTCAAAGAATTATCATTCCAATAAACATCTGTGACTTAGAAAATATTATCAATTAAATCATTTTTTGTCATTTTTCATTGATGTTCAAATTCTCTAAAGGTTTTCAGAAGTTCCTATCCAAGTCAATAATTATCGAATAAAAAAGACCATCTTTGTTCTAAAATCATAAATTTATAAATATCGAATATCATCATGTAAAGAATTAACTTTCAGGGTGGTCCTGAATTCTGGCTCTAACTTTTTATTTTGCATAAGAAGTTAGTTTGTCTTGACCCTATAGATACCAAGTCCTTAAATGGAATGAGCTCTGCTTTAGCAAATCAGCTACATAGTAAGTGGAGTTTTTACTAGTTTCTCATGTTTTCTTCTACTGGAAAGTGTTCAATAATGAAGCTATTTTGCTTCATCATGGCCATATTTGCTGGGATTATAATAGACAATGACAAAAATGTCCATTCAGCTCTTACTGAGAATCAATAATGCCCATTTAGTTTACTGCTATAACCAGTGGGATTCTAGTTTTTTAAGGTGCATGTAGATCTGGGGATCCCAATTGCAAGAGCAGCACAATATCATCCTCTGCCCAGCACTATATTAACCATTTATGGCTTCATCTCGGATCTGCCCTCTACTTTGTTATAATTGAAAATAACCAGCCTGGTGTCAAATACAGATTCACATGTCTAAATTCAAACTCTCCCATTCACACAGTTTATAGGAATCAGATAATTTACTATTCCCAAAAGTAGGGAATAATAGCCTCTGTCCCCTAGATCATCCTACAGCTTTCCTTCCCTGGATCAAATCCCCAGAATGTGTATGTGAACTATAAACACTTGTGACATCATTTTTCCATCATTTATAAATTTCAGCTTCAAATCATGTGATAATCTTCAGAAGACACTAGTAGAAAATGAGCCTGTTTATATAAAGGTAGAGATTATGAAATGGATCAATTTTAGAAAATAACCAAACACATTTTATTATTCATTATTTTAAATAATTCAAATTCTTCATATCTCTGAACAATTAAAATATTCTACATTGTGAAATGTGCACAGTGGTTTCCATAATAGAGGAGTCTTCATTTCACAAATGCATATTTTGTACATGAATTTAGTAGTTTATACAGTCGACAAATTTGTATTGAATTTTGAGCCTATCCTTTTTATCAGACCTTAAGAATACAGGGCAATTTTGCCCAAGTTATTGTTCTTAGTCTTTGAAACACTGGGGGAGAGAGTATTTTTCCTTTGTTCACTTGAGATTGTATTGGGAATTTTTGCATATTCATTTTTCACATAGTATGTTACTGTGAAAATTTGTTTTTCTATACTTTGATTTCTTTGATTTTCATATTCAGGTTAGTGTCAATGAAAGAATATGAATATAATTTTTAAATGGGCTATACAGTAGTTCTGTGTGGCATTCATGACAACAAATATATTTATATTTCTCACTTCACTTTGCCTAGAAGGTAAAAGTGGTCTGATTTTTCATCTTAATTTATGGGAACAAAAAGAAAACAAATGTATGTCTAAATGTGATAAGCATGTAAGAGGAGAAATACCTAATGTAAATGATGAGTTAATGGTGCAGCACAGCAACATGGCACATGTATAGCTATTTAACAAACCTGCATGTTTTGCACATGTACCCTAGAACTTAAAGTATAATAAAAGAAAAGAATGACCAGAAGGGAACTTAGAAAATATCTTGAGACAGATGAAAATGTAAACACAACATAACAAAATGTATGTGATGCAGTGAAAACAGAGCTAAAGGGGAAATTGAAAGCTATAAAAGTTTATATTTAAAAAGAAGAAAGACCTCAAACCAATGAACTAACTTTACAAATTAAGGAAGTAGAAAAAGTAGAAATAAACACAGAGCTAGGAAGAGGAAGAAAATAAGAAAGACTAAAGCAGAAATTAATAAAATACAGAATAGAAAAGCAATTAACTTGAAATACCATTTGACCCAGCCATCCCTTTACTGGGTTTATACCGAAAGGTATTATAAATCATGCTGCTATAAAGACACATGCACATGTATGTTTATTGTGGCACTATTCACAATAGCAAAAACTTGGAACCAACCCAGATGTCCCTCAATGATAGACTGGATTAAGGAAATGTGGCACATGGCTGGGCGTGGTGGCTCACACCTGTAATCCCAGCACTTTGGGAGGCCACGGCGGGCGGATCACAAGGTCAGGCGATCGAGACCAGCCTGGCTAACATGGTGAAACCCTGTCTCTACTAAAAATACAAAAAAGTTAGCCAGGCATGGTGGCGGGTGCCTGTAGTCCCAGCTACTCGGGAGGCTGAGGCAGGAGAATGGCATGAACCCAGGAGGAGGAACTTGCAGTGAGCCGAGGTCACACCACTGCACTCCAGCCTGGGCGACAAAGCGAGACTCCGTCTCAAAAAAAAAAAAAAAAGAAAAGAAAAGAAAATGTGGCACACAGACACCATGGAATACTATGGAGCCATAAAAAAGATGTGCTCATGCCTTTTGTAGGGACATAAATGAAGCTGGAAACCCTTATTCTCAGCAAACTATCACAAGGACAAAAAAAACAAACACCGCATGTTCTCACTCATAGGTGGGAATTGAATAATGAGAACACTTGGAAACAGGAATGGGAACATCACATACCAGAGCCTGTGGTGGGCTAGGGGGTAGAAGGGAGGGATAGCATTAGGAAATATACCTAATGTAAATGACGAGTTAATGGGTGCAGCACACCAACATGGCATATGTATACATATGTAACAAACCTGCACGTTGTGCACATGTACCCTAGAACTTAAAGTATAATAAAAAAAAATAATAAAAAGGAAAGAAAAGCAATTAAAAAATCAATGGAAGTGAACATTGGTCTTTTGAAAGGATCAACAAAATTGACAAACCCTAAATTATATTAAGAGATAAGTAGAGAAAAATCACATGAAAGTCAGAAATAACAGAGGACATAAAACAACTGACGGCATAGAAGTAAAAAGGATTGGCCAGGAGCGGTGGCTCACGCCTGTCATCCCAGCACTTTGGGAGGCCGAGGCGGGCAGATCACAAGCTCAGGAGATCGAGACCATCCTAGTTAACACAGTGAAACCCCATCTCTACTAAAAATACAAAAGGAAATTAGCTGGGCATGGTGGCAGGTGCCTGTAGTCCCAGCTACTCAGGAGGATGAGGCAGGAGCATGGCCTGAACCCGGGAGTCAGAGCTTGCGGTAAGTGGAGATCGTGCTACTGCACTGCAGCCTGGGCGACACAGCGAGACTTGGTCTCCAAAAAAAAAAAAAAGAAGAAGTAAAAAGGATTATAACAGACTACTATGAGCAATTATACTCCAACAAAGTGATTAACCTGTAAGACATAAATAAATTCCTAGAAACAAACAACTTACCAAGACCAAATCATGAATAAACAAAAAATCTGACTAGGCTATAACAAGCAAGGAGATCAAATCAGTCATCAAACTTCCCAATAACAACAACAATATAGGGGAGCCACATGACTAAGCCTGACAACTGACCACCACACCTAAGGGTCACCTACTAGATCATGCCCAAAGCTTCAACACTAAAATATCTCACTAACATACCCTCATTAAACCAAAGACAAGTCAGCTACAAATAAAGACCCTGCACAAAGCTGCAGCCCTGTGGAAACATCCAGAAAAGAAGTGTATTTATTGACTGAACTCAAGCTACACTCCCATATGCAGAGATGAGAAAGAACCAATGCAAGAACTACAGTAACTCAAATGGACGGAGTTTCTTATGTCCTTCAAATAATCACACTAGTTCTCCAACAAGGGTTCTTAACCAAAATGAGTTAGCTATAGTGACAGAGATATAATTCAGTATATGGATAGAACGGAATTTCACTGAGATTCAGGAAAACAGTAAAACCTAAACCAAGGAAACTAAGAATCACAATCAAAGGATACAGGAGCCGACAGACAAAACAGCCAGTATGAAAAACAACCTAATGGACCTAATAGATCTAAAAAACACTATAAGAGTTTCACAATGCAATCACAAGTATTAACAGCAGAATAGACCAAGCTGAGGAAAGAATCTCAGGACTTGAAGACTGGTTCTCCGAAATAAGACAGTCAGACAAAACTAAAGAAAAAAGAATGAAGAGCAATGAACAAACCTCCAAGAAACAGGGGACTGTATAAAGAGGCCAAATCTAGGAATCACTTGCATCCTTAGAAGAGACAGGGAGAAAACAAACAACTTGGAAAATATATTTCAGGATATCATCTATGAAAAGTTCCACAACCTTGATGGAGCCCAAAAGTCAAATTCCCTTGAAGTTCTACACCCAGATTGGGAGGCTGTTGTAATTCTTAGTGTTGCACAATACATATAGGAAGGGATAAGTTAGGAAGCCCCGGGGAGGCCAGGCAGGTTGGAGGAAAGGCACACATCCTGACCCTTTCTCTTTCCCCATAGCTGTCCATTGCCCCAAGAGGACATGTCCTGCCTGAAGCTGGGATTATTTTCTCTCTCTAAGATCCAAAAGTTAAGGAAATGGGTTAATTCCAGTACCGGGGTCAGTTCTTTCTTGGGAAGAGCCTCTTTTTAGCTATGAAGATACATCTCCAGTCAGGAGGCCTACTTATGCATCAGCAGCCTGTTCACAGACTTGGTTGCCGTCTTGATGCATTTTGACCAGTTGGGGGCGCTCATTCCCTGTAAATGTTGTAATAGTCTCCAAACCTGCCTTTTATTTCATTTGCTAAGCTACTGTTATGTCATTGTAACAGAGACATTCCCTCTTTGTCAGAAATATTCATCATAAGAAAGGAAAAGGAATATTTTATAAAAGAGTTTCTGAAAAACCTAGAACTTTTATTGAACTTCTGCTTTCATTTGTGATTTTGTACTCTTAAGGGGAAAGTGATGGGTAAAACCCACAAGAGAACTGAAAACAGGTGTGTGAAGAGTCAGTGCAGGCTAATGATGAGTGAAGAAGAGAGCACGGTGCCGATTTCTAGAGGAAGAGGAAGGAAACTAATGTGATACGGGAGTGAAAAATGGGATACAGAAAAGCAGGGAGGAAAGGGGAAAGTGTGTCAGCTCCCAGAACCAGCAAAGATGTATATTTTACTTAAGTTTAGGAGACTACCTTCATATGGGAGTGTCCTCTGGAATTCTGAGAGCCAGGAAACGAATGTGCCAGGTGCCAGAATCAGTTAACCATCAACACGTGTATTCTGCACTTCACTCTAGATGCTGCTCCTCTGTCAGGTATTTCTACAAGCCACCATTTCCTGACTGAATGTAAATAGGACTTTGAAATGAGGTGAGACCATTTTTCAGCCTCTTTACAATTCATGACAGAATTCTGTTTTTTGTTTTTTAGGCTGCCTAAAAAAATATATGCAAGCAGAATGGAATTTCAATGTAAAATAATTTCTTGTGATTTATACCTGATGTGTAAATTTTGTATTGGGATTTCCTAAATAATTATTAATCTCCTTTTTTCTCCAATTATACGCAACCATGTCCTGCTCTCTGAGGAGATGTTGCATTTTCAGCTGATTTTGACCAACTTTCTTCCTTTCTGTTTTTTTGACATTGCTTTAAGTCCTGGAATACATGTGCAGAATGAGCAGATTTGTTACATAGGTATACGTGTGCCATGGTGGTTTGCTGCACCTATCAACTCGTCACCTAGAATTTAAGCACAATTTTTTTTTAATCCCGTCTATCATTGATGGTCATTTTGGTTGGTTTCTTGTCTGTGCTATTGTAAATAGTGCTGCAATAAACATACACGTGCATGTATTTTTATAATAGAATGATTTATATTTCTTTGGGTATATACTCAGCAATGGGATTGCTGGGTCAAATGGTATTTCTGGTTCTGGATCCTTGATGAATTGCCACACTGTCTTCCACAATGGTTGAACTAATTTACATTCCTACCAACAGTGTAAAACCTTTCCTATTTTTCCACAGCTTCACCAGCATCTGTTATTTCCTGACTTTTTAATAATCGCCATTCTGAGTGGCATGAGATGGTATGTCATTGTAGTTTTGATTTGCATTTCTGTAATGATCAGTGATGTTGAGCTTTTCTCATGTTTATTGGCCACATAAAAGTCTTCTTTTGAGAAGCATCTGTTCTTGTCCTTTGCCAAGTTTTTGATGGGGCTTTTTTTTTTTTGGTAAATTTGTTTACGTTCCTTGTACATTCTGGATATTAGACCTTCGTCAGATGGGTAGACCGCAAAAATTTTCTCCCATTCTGTAGGCTGCCTGTTTGCTCTGATGATTGATAGCTTCTTTTGCTGTGCAAAGGCTCTTTAATTAGATGTCATTTGTCAATTTTAGCTTTTGTTGCAGTTGCTTTTCGTGATTTCATCATAAAATCTTTGTCCATGCCTATGTCCTGAACGCTATTGCCTAAGTTTTCTTCTAGGGTTTTTATGGTTTTGGGTTTTACATTTAAGTGTTTAATCCATCTTGAGTTAATTAGGAACAGGTCCAGTTTCAGTTTTATGCTTATGGCTCTCCAGTTTTCCCAGCACCATTTATTAAATAGGGAATCTTCTCCCCATTCCTAAAGTATTGAGAAAGAGAATCTCTTTTCCAGTTTCTGATTTTATTTTATGAAAGAAATGTGTCAGTTTTTACTGATATTTAACAAATTAATCAAAATTTTGATCAATTACTATTGTAAATAATTTTATATTTTATGCTTTAAATATATAAAAAGTAAGTGTATTAATATGATTTACCAATGCATCACATTTATGAAAATTATTCAGTGACATATATTTTCAAAAGGGAAACACTATGCAGATAAAAGATAATCCACATTTTTGGAGAGTACAACCTTATTAGTTCCCTCCATTGCAAAGGCAGATCTCTCACAATTTTCCGTATGTGTTATCTTGATTTTCTTTTCTCATTCACTCTTCTACCTACCCCAATATGGCTTCTGCTGATTAATTCTATCAATCCAGCTCTCAGTAAGCTCTGCACTGCCATCTCTTTTCTTGCTGTAGTGCTCAGTTTTAACTCACGTTTTCCATAAGTCTGTTGATTTTTTTCTAAGCACATTTATTTTCTAAATACACTTTTATCACCATTCCCTCTTGCCCTTCTGATATTAAGGTATTCCACGTCTGTTTTCTTTGTGTCTCTTCTGTTCCCACACTTAAACGTTGGAAGGTCCTCAGAATCCAGTTTAAGTCTTTTTTTCCTTCTCCACTTGCTCCCCACATGACAGCCATTCCATTTCATTTTTGGCCTTTCAATTGCCAGTTAGGAATTTCCAGATATGGTATTCCTTGAAAACTGCAAACTCATTTATCTGACTGGCAATGTACATTTTCAATTACATGTTGAAAGTCAGTTTACAGAGAATATCTCTGCTTTAATTTCCAGACATGTCTCAATCTACCTTCTGCTAAGAGGAATTCATTGTTTTTTTACTTCCTCACAATTCAGCAGTCAGCATAACTGACATTAACTCAGCATTATTATTGTTCTTAGATTTCTTTCTGGACAAAAATCAAAGATACAAGAGAACAGGAACTGTATTTTTTATGCTCACGTTTATATCTTGAAGTCAACATATAACCTGGTATAGAAAAATATATTGTTCTATAACTTGAATAAAATTGATAGTTAACTTAATTAAATCATCTATTTTTAAGTCAAGGTGTACAGTCAGGCTTGGTGTTTTATCTTAAAGAATAAACAAACACAAGAAATTTTGTGTAGTAAAAATTTAATGAAAAAGAAATTAATATATTGGCTACATAAGAAGAACATATATTGTTACATTAACCACAATGTAAAGGTACACATGATATTACATAAAAATAATTTAAATCTTAAAAATAGTTAAATAAATATTTAAATAAATAGATGAACAGAGACATCAGCACGGCCTTCTGTAAAGGACTAGTGCCTGCACAGGCAAACACGATGCTTCTTTACACTCCTGAAAACATTAGAAAATTTGGATTCAACTCGTGGTGGTTATAGGAGAAATTAGTCTTTGAAATGGAAGAACTCATGAAAGTGTGAGATGATGTATAGTCAATGAGGATCATTTCCATGTTGAACCAGTTTTCAATCCTTCCTCCTTAATCTTTTTTGCAAGTTTGTTGAAAAAGAGAGGGATCTCATGATTTCTGCTCTGACAACCTCCCAGGCACAAGGGCTGTATTTCTTCTCCATCAGATAGAGAGTGATTCTTTGGAAGTATTTCCTCACAGCCAGGATGGAGTCCTCATTCATCAGGGGAGTCTCTTCTACCCCAGCCTCCTGTATCACACAGGCTTCCAGGTCATTCAGTTGCTGGAAAAGTTCAATGTAGAATTTGTCTAGGAGGGTCTCATCCCAAGCAGCAGATGAGTCCTTTGTGCTGAAGAGATTGAAGGTCTGCTGGATCATCTCATGGAGGACAGAGATGGCTTGAGCCTTCTGGAACTGGTTGCCATCAAACTCCTCCTGGGGGAATGCAAAGTCATGCCTGTCCTTCAGGCAGGAGGGAAGAGAGATTCTTTGCATTTGTGCCAGGAGTATCAAGGCCCTCCTATGACCCAGGCTGTGGGTCTGAGGCAGATCACAGCCCAGAGAGCAGATGGATTTGTAGCTGAGCACCACCACGGCCATCAGTAAAGAAAAGGACAGGGCCATTGGGATGTTGCAAATATTGCTAGGCTACGTGAGGTGGGTAACCTTGAACCTTGGCCTCTAGGTTTTCTGAAGACTTTGCTCTGTGCATGGGTCTTAAATAGTGAACATAATAATTTCCATTTTCTAAATGCCCTAGTTTTACTTTCTATCTCTGTTTTTGCTTTCTTTATTCACTCTCTACATATGTTTAAAGATGCTTTTCATTTTTTTCATCATTGCCTACTTTTCCCCTGCACTCAAAACTTTTTATGGTATTTTTTTTCTAATTGAAATCTTCATAAAATTTTAATAACACAGATTTGGCATATCTATTTATGTATACTGTGTAAACCTCTACTTCACAGATAAAGACTATAAAGTTTGCTCTTTTTATTTGATGTAAAGTTAAGAATGACAGAAAAGTTAACCTAAAATCTAAGTTTAAAAGCTATTGACATTTAACTTAATTTGATGAGTATAATTGTAGAATAACTTTTAATGTAATTTGTTCATGTAAATATTGTTGTATCAAATTACATATGCAAAATAAAAATCTATATAAATACACATTAATCATATGAATGTAATGACATACCTAATCATTCAAAATTCCAAAAAAATGAACCAGTTGTTTAAAATTTTTCTCACAGTATATGAAGCTTTGAATTTTGCTTTATACGAGAAAATAATTTGTAAACTTCACTAGCTGCAATATTAATCCAGATATTGCCAACACTTTTTTCTTTTCAGAACTTGACATACATATTGATGTGTTGTATAACTTTAGCAGAAATAAATCATATAATATAAGGTATTTGCAATGAATTCTCAAAGTCTACAAAACATCCTGAAGAACTGAGGAGAAAACATATGTAATAACCATAAGACAGTCAATGGCAGCCCAAAGGTATGCAGGTTAAATCCACATATTGTGATAAGACTTTAAGACCCAGCAAAAAAATGGACAAAAAGTCCTCCAATCACAGTCATCTATTTGACATAGGTTTTTAACACTGATCTTGCAAATATTTTGTGTATCTTCATGAACTCAATATTAGTGCTTCTCATGTGATACACAACAAAACCCAGTGAGAAAGATGAATATTAAGCAATCAAATTTTGTTGGATAGACTTGTTGGAGGTCACGAGCTGTTGTAATATGTCAGACTTGTTTATACTATGAGAAATAATTTTTGTACCCTTCAAAGAAGTATCATTCCAATAAACATATGTGACTTAGAAAATATTATCAATTAAGTCATTTTGGCATTTTTCATCGAAGTTCAAATTCCCTAAAGGTTTTCAGAAGTTCCTATCCAAGTCAATTCTTATCGAATAAAAAATATCATCTTTGTTCTCAATTCATAAATTTATAAATATTGAATATTATCATGTAAAGAATCAACTTTCAGAGGGGTCCTGAACTCTGACTCTAACTTTTTATTTTGTATAAGAAGTTAGTTTGTCTCAGCCCTATAGAGGCTGAGTCCTTAAATGGAATGAGCTCTGCTTTAGCCAATCAGCTATTTAGTAAGTGGAGTTTTTACTAGTTTGTCATTTTTTCTTCTACTAGGAAGTGTTCAAGAATGAGGCTATTTTGCTTCATCATGGCCATATTTGCTGGGATTATAATAGACAATGACAAAAATGTCCATTCAGCTCTTATTGAGAGTCAATAATGCCCATGTAGTTTACTGCTAAAACGACTGGGATTTTAGTTTTTTTAAGGTGCATGTAGATCTAGGGATTCCAATTGCAAGAGCAGCACAATATCATCCTCTGCCCAGCACTATATTAACCATTTATGACTTCATCTCTGATCTGCCCTCTACTTTGTTATAATTGAAAATAACTAGCCTGTTGTCAAATACAGATTCACATATCTAAATTCAAACTCTCCAATTCACACAGTTTATAGGAATCAGACAAGTTACTATTCCCAAAAGTAGGGAATAATAGCCTCTGTCCCCCAGATAATCCTACAGCTTTCCTTCCCTGTATCAAATCCCCAGAATGTGTATGTGAACTGTAAATACTTGTGACATCATTTTTCCATCATTTATAAATTTCAGCTTCAAATCATGTGATAATCTTTAGATGACACTAGTAGAAAATGAGCCTGTTTATATAAAGGTAGAGATTATGAAATGGATCAATTTTAGAAAATAACCACATTTTAGAAATTTAGAAATTTTAGAAACAAACACATTTTATTATTCATTATTTTAAATGATTCATTTAAATTCTTCATATCATTGAACAATTAAAATATTATACATTGTGAAATGTGCACCAGGGTTTCCATAATAAAGGAGTCTTCATTTCAGAAACGTATATTTTATACATTAATTTAGTAGTTTATCCAGTCAACAAGCTTGTATTGAATTTTGGGCTCATCCTTATTATCAGACTCTGAGAATACAGGGCAAGTTTGCCCAAGTTATTATTCTTAGTCTTTAAAACACTGGGGGAGAGAGTATTTTTTCTTTTTTCACTTGAGATTGTATTGGGAATTTTTGCATACACATTTTTATGTAGTGTTTTACTGTGAAAATTTGTTTATATTTTGATTTCTTTGATTTTTATATTCAGGTTAGTGTCGATGAAACAATATAAATATAATTTTTAAATGGGCTATACGGTGGTTCTATGTGGCATTCACAACAACAAATATATTTATATTTCTCACTTCACTTTTCCTAGAAAGTGAAAGTGGTCTGATTTTTCATCTTAATTTGTGAGAACAAAAAGAAAACAAATGTAGGTCTAAATGTGATAAACCTGTAAGAGGAGAAATACCTAATGTAAATGATGAGTTAATGGGTATAGCAAACCAACATGATACATGTAGGGCTATTTAACAAACCTGCAAGCTTTGCACATGTGCCCTAGAACTTAAAGTATAATAAAAGAAAAGAATGACCAGAAGGGAACTTAGAAAATATCTTGAGACAGATGAAAATGAAAATACATCTTACCAAAATATATGTGATGCAGTGAAAACAGAGCTAAAGGGGATACTGAAAGCTTTAAAAGCTTATATTAAAAAAGAAGAAAGGCTTCAAACCAATGAACAAATTTCACAAGTTAAGGAAGTAGAAAAAGAAAAAATAAACACACAGCTAGGAAGAGGAAGAAAATAAGAAAGATGAAATTTTATTAATAAGAAATTAATAAAATACAGAATAGAAAAGCAATTAAAAAATCAATGGAACTAAGCGTTAGTCTTTTGAAAGGATCAGTTGAAAGCTATAAAAGCTTATATTAAAAAAGAAGAAAGACCTCAAACCAATGAACTAACTTTAAAAGTTAAGGAACTAGAAAAAGAAGAAATAAACACATAGCTAGGAAGAGGAAGAAAGTAAGAAAGACGAAAGAGCTTAGAAAATATCTTGAGTGAGATGAAAATGAAAACACAACATACCAAAATGTATGTGATGCTGTGAAAACAGCTAAAGAGGAAATTGAAAGCTATAAAGGCTTATATTAAAAAAGAAGAAAGACCTCAAACCAATGAACTAACTTTACAAGTTAAGGAAGTAGAAAAAGAAGAAATAAACACATAGCTAGGAAGAGGAAGAAAATAAGAAAGATGAAATTTTATTAATAAAGAAATTAATAAAATACAGAATAGAAAAGCAATTAAAAAATCAATGGAACTAAGCGTTGGTCTTTTGAAAGGATCAACAAAATTGACAAACCCTGAAGTGTATTAAGAGATAAGTAGAGAAAAATCAAATAAAAATCAGAAATAACAGAGGACACATAACAACTGATGGCATAGAGGTAAAAAGGATTGGCCGAGCGCGGTGGCTCACGCCTGTCATCCCAGCACTTTGGGAGGCCGAGACAGGCGGATCACGAGGTCAGGAGATCGAGACCATCCGAGCTAACACAGTGAAACCCCATCTCTACTAAAAATACAAAAAGAAATTAGCCAGGCTTGGTGGCGGGTGCCTGTAGTCTCAGCTACTCAGGAGGCTGAGACAGGAGATGGCCTGAACTCTGGAGGCAGAGCTTGCAGTGAGTGGAGATCTCGCCTCTGCACTCCAGCCCGGTCGACAGAGAGAGACTCCGTCTCTAAATAAATAAATAAATAAATACATAGATAGATAAATAAGTAAAAAGGATTATAACAGACTACTATGAGCAATTATACTCCAACAAATTGATTAACCTGGAAGAAATATATAAATTCCTAGAAACAAACAACTTACCAAGACCAAATTGTGAATAAACAAAAAATCTGACTAGACCTATAACTAGTAAGGAGATCGAATCAGTCATCAAACTTCCCAATAACAAAAACAACAACAACAACAACAACAACAGCAAAACATAATCGGATGGCTTCAGTGGATAATTCTATCCAACATTTAGGGAATTAACACCAATCTTTCTCAAAATCTTCCAAAAAATTGAAGAGGAAGGAATAGTTTCAAACTCATTTCATGAGACGAGCATTTCCCTGATGTCAAAGCCACATAAGGATACTGCAAGAAAACTACAGATCCATTTCCCCGATAGATATTGATACAAAAATCCTCACTAAAATACTTGTAAACCAAATTCAACAGCACAATAAAAGGATTATACATCATGACCAAGGGGGATTTACTACTCGGTTGGAAGAATGTTTCAACATATGAAAATTAATCAATGCAATACATCACATTAACAAAATGAATGAAAAATATACATAATAATCTCTATAGATACAGAAAAAGAAATTGACCAAATTTCATATCCTTTCATGATAAAAAACATTCGACAAACTTGGAATAAAAGGAAGTTAGCTCAACATAATAAAGACCATATACGAGAATCCCACAATTAACATTATATTCAATGGTGAGAAACTGAAAGCTTTTCCTCTAAGATGAGGAACAAGGCAGGGAGGCCACTCTTACCACTTTTATATAACATAACATTTGTAGATCTAGCCATAGCAATTAACAAGAAAAAGAAATAAAAAGCGTTCATATTGGAAAGGAAGAAGTAAAATAATCTTTTTTCAGATAGCCTGATCGTGTATGTAGAAAACTCTAAGTTTACACACATACACACACTCACATACAAACTATTAGAACTAATAAATGAATTCAGCAAAGTTGTAAAATATAAAATTAAGATGCAAAAATAAGTAGCATTTTTATATGCTAACAATGGACAAATCTGAAAAGGAAACTGAAAAAACAAAACCCATTTGCAATAGCATCAAAACAGTAAAGTACTCAGGAAAAAACTTAAACAAAGTGGAAAAAGATTTATATATTGAAAACTAGCAAACACTGCTGAAAGAAATTAAGGAAGAGAAATGAAAAGACATTTCTGGTCATGGATTGGGAAGCCTGTCATTGTTATGATTTTCAAACTATCCAAAGCAATACACAGATACAATGCAAGCCCTCTCAAAATCACTAAGGCATTTTTGGAAGAAGTAAAAAAATCTGTCCTATTTTTCTACAGCTTCACCAGCATCTGTTATTTCCTGACTTTTTAGTAATCGCCAGTCTGAGTGGCATGAGATGGTATCTCACGGTGGTTTTGGTTTTCATTTCTCTAGTGATCAGTGATGCTGAGCTTCTTTTATGTTTATTGGCCGCATATATGTCTGTTTTTAAGAAGTGTCTGTTCATGTCTTTGCCTACTTTTTGATGGGCCTTTTTTTTTTTTTTTGGTAAATTTTTTTAAGTTCTTCGTACATTCTGGATATTAGACCTTTGTCGGATGGGTAGACTACAAAAATTTTCTCCCATACTCTAGGCTGCTCGTTCGCTCTGATGATAGATAGTTTCTTTTGCTGTGCAGAAGCTCTTTAATTAGATGCTATTTGTCAATTTTAGCTTTTGTTGCAGTTGGTTTTGGTGATTTCATCATATAATCTTCGCCCATGCCTATGTCCTGAATGCTATTGCCTATGTTTCTTCTAGGGTTTTTATGGTTTTGGGTTTTATATAAGTCTTTAATCCATCTTGAGCTAATTTTTATATAAGGTGTAAGGAAGGGGTCCAGTTTCAGTTTTCTGCATACAACTCTCCAGTTTTCACAGTAGCATTTATTAAACAGGGAATCCTTTCCCCATTCCCAAAGTATTGAGAAAGAGAATCTCTTTTCCAGTTTCTGATTTTATTTTATGATAGAAATGTGTCAGTTTTTACTGACAATTAACAGAGTATTAATCAAAATAATGATTAATTACTCTTGTTATATTTTATGCTTTAAATATATAAAATATTAAATGTATTAATGTGATTTACCAGTGAATCACATTTATGAAATTTATTCAGTGACATATATTTTCAAAAGGGAAACACTATGCAGATAAAAGATAATCCACATTTTTTTGGAGTCCAACTTATTACTTCCCACCTTTACAAAGGCAGATCTCCCACAATTTTCTATATGTGTTATCTTGATTTTTCTTTTCTCATTAATTCTTCTACCTACCCCAAAATGGCTTCTGCTGATTAATTCTATCAATCCAGCTCTCAGTAAGCTCTGCACTGCCATCTCTTTTCTTGCTGTAGTGCTCAGTTTTAATTCACATTTTTCGTAAGTCTATTGATTCTTTTTCTAAGCACATTTATTTTCTAAATATGCTTTTATCACCATTCCCTCTTGTCCTTCTGCTGTTAAGGTATTTCACCTCTGTTTTCTGTGTGTCTCTTCTGTTCCCCTACTTTAAAATCGTGGAAGGTCCTCAGAATCCAGTTTAAGTCTTTTTTTTCCCTCTCCACTTGCTCCCCAAATGACAGCCTTCATTTTTGGCCTTTCCATTGCCAGTTAGGAACTTCCAGATATGGTATTCCTTGGAAACTGCAAACTCATATATCTGACTAGCAATGTGCATTTTCAATTACATGTTTGAAAGTCAGTTTATAGAGAATATCTCTTCTTTTAATTCCAGACATGTCTCAATCTACCTTCTGCTAAGAAAAATTCATTGCTTTTTGACTTCCTCACTATACAGCAGTTAGCATAACTGATATTAATTCAGTATTATTATTATTTTTAGATTTCTTTCTGGACAAAAGTCAAATATACAAGAGAACAGGAACTGTAGTTTTTATGTTCATGTTTATATCCTGAAGGCAACATATAACCTGGTATGGAAAAATGTATTTTTCTATAACTTGAATAGAATTATGATAGGTAACTTAATTAAATCATCTATTTTTAAGTCAGGTTGTACAGTCAGGCTTTGCATTTTATCTTAAAGAATAAACAAACACAAAAAATTTTGTATAGTAAAAATTTAGTGAAAATGGAAATTAATATATTGGCCAAATATGAAGAACATATATTATTATGTTAACCACAGTGTAAAGGTACACACGATATTACATTAAAAATAATTTAAATATTTAAAATAGTTAAATAAATAAATATTCAAATAAATAGATGAACAGAGACATCAGCGTGGTCATCTGTAAAGGACTAGTGCCTGCACAGGCAAACACGATGCTTCTTTACACTCCTGAAAACATTAGAAAATTTTGATTCAACTCGTGGTGGTTATAAGAGACATGAGTCTTTGAAATGGAAGAACTCATGAAAGTGTGAGATGATGTATAGTCAATGAGGATCATTTCCATGTTGAACCAGTTTTCAATCCTTCCTCCTTAATCTTTTTTGCAAGTTTGTTGAAAAAGAGAGGGATCTCATGATTTCTGCTCTGACAACCTCCCAGGCACATGGGCTGTATTTCTTCTCCGTCAGATAGAGAGTGATTCTTTGGAAGTATTTCCTCACAGCCAGGATGGAGTCCTCATTCATCAGGGGAGTCTCTTCTACCCCAGCCTCCTGTATCACACAGGCTTCCAGGTCATTCAGTTGCTGGAAAAGTTCAATGTAGAATTTGTCTAGGAGGGTCTCATCCCAAGCAGCAGATGAGTCCTTTGTGCTGAAGAGATTGAAGGTCTGCTGGATCATCTCATGGAGGAGAGAGATGGCTTGAGTATTCTGGAACTGGTTGCCATCAAACTCCTCCTGGGGAAATTCAAAGTCATTTCTGTCCTTCAGGCATGAAAAAGGAGAGATTCTCCTCATTTGTGCCATGAGCATCAAAGTCCTCCTGTTATTCATGTTGTGGGTTTGAGATGGATTACAGCCCAGAGAGCAGCTTGACTTGTAGCTAAGCACCACCAGGGCCATCATTAAAGCAAAGGGCAATGCCATTGGGAATCCTGAAGATGCTGCTGGGCTGGTTGATGAGGAGTAACCCTGAACCCTGGGCTGTAAGTTTTCTGAAGACCTTGCTCTGTGCATAGGTTTTAAATAGGGAACATACTAGCTTCCATTTTCTGAACGTCTTCATGTTTCTTTCTACTTCTCTTTTGGCTTTCCTTTGTGTCATGTCTACACGGGTATAGAGCAGTTTCTCAACCACTTTTATTTTCATTATTACCTCCTCTTTCCCTGCCCCATAGCCTTTTTAGAAATTTCTTTCTAATTCAAAGTCCCATTAAGTTTTAATAACAGGGATACACCATATATTTGTTGAGGTACTCTACATATCTATTTATAAGGAGTGTAAAGTTTAATCTTTTAATTCAACTTAGTGTTAAGAATGACCAAATGGGCTGGGCCCAGTGGCTCACACTTATAATTCCAGCACTTTGGGAGGCCAAGGCAGGTGGATCACGAGGTCAGGAGTTCGAGACCTGCCTGGCCACCATGGTGAAACCCCATCTCTACTAAAAATACAAAAATTAGTTGGGCATGGTGGCAGGTGCCTGTAATCCTAGCTGCTCGGGAGGCTGGAGCAGGAGAATTGCTTGAACCTGGGAGGCAGATGTTGCAGTGAGCCGAGATTGCAATATTGCACTGCAGCCTGGGCGACAGAGTGAGGCTCCATCTCAAAAAAAAAAAAAAAAAAAAAAAGAAAAAAAAAGAAAAGAAAGAAAAAAAGAAAGACCAAATGAAATTTTTAAGCTAAAAGTTAATGGTTAAATTTAAAACCCATGGGCATTTAACTCAATTTGTTTGTGTCTTTAAAGTGATTTATTTACCTATATAAAATGTAATATGTTCAATTACATCAGCAAATTAACAAATTATAAAAACACATAATAATACCTAATACAATAAAATACTTAAAAACATTTAAAACTGCTAAAGACTATTAAAATTTAATTTTTTTAACATTTTCTTTTAGTCTATTTACCTTTTAATTTTCCTTCATGTTCGAAAATGTTTAACTTCACTAGCTGCTAGATATTCATCCAAATATTGTCTAGATTTTTTTTCTCTTCAGTGCTTGACAATTATTGATGTATTTGAACACCTTTAGTAGAATTAAATAATAAAATATAAAGTATTTGCATTTAATTCTTAAAGCCCACAACACAGTCAGAAATGCTAAGGATTAAACATAAGCAACATTCATAAGATGGCTGCTGACAGCCCATTTGTATACAGAGGCCACCTGAGATGATATGACTTTGACATCTAGTAAATAAACCTTGGAAATTCCTCCAATCACAGCACCCATTTGACATAGGTGTGTAACACTGATCTTATATACCTTGTATCTTCCATGAACTCAATGTCAGTGCTTTTCATGTGACACGCAAGAAAACCCACTGGAAAAAAAAGTACTAAGGAATAAGGTTTTGTCAGATAGAGTTGAGTTTTAGAGTGTTACCAATCACCGAAATACCTGAGATTTGTTTCCACACTCAGAAATAACTTTTACACCGTTGGGAGCAATATCATACGGAATGAGTATATGTAGCTAAGAAAAAAAACATTAATTTGATTAAACAAATTTTTTGGCACTAAAATTTAAATTTCCAAAGGACCTGCAGATGTTCCAATTCTGGTTCATTTTTATCAAACTAAAGGAAACCCTTTTTGTCCTGAATGTCCATAATAGGATGTAAATGTGATCACATAAATGTGTTGTACAATTGTTTTACATGCAGAAAAGCAGAAACCTTTATTTCTCATTTTCATTTTCATTTTTATTGAAAACAAAGGTTGTCCACTTTTTGCATCCTAAAGAAGTGGGACAAAAGAAACCCCAAAACAAATGTATATCTAAATTTGATAAAAGTATAAAAAGGAAGCAATATATTAATGGGAAAAAACAAGGACAAAAAGCAACTTACCCACATTCAGCCCAGCCAAGGTAGAGATTAAGGAATGGAGAAGAAAAGAGGCAAGAAAGTGGAACAGATGTAGATCAAAGGCAGCAAATGATCATGGGCTAGAAGAAAAGTAATCATTCCTGATCAAGGGTGTGTTTTTGTTTTGCTGAATACAGCCTTCACAGAGAGTCATGGGACACACACCAACCGCATGAGTTTGTGCATTAAAAAGGCAAATTTAAAAGACTACAGTATACTCTCCACATAATGGTTAAGTGTTATTTCCCAAGCTCTCCCTTAATGTATACATAAACTCAAGAGGTCAATGTTTTTCTTATCATGTCTCTTAGAAGAAACTAGGGAATTGATTATCTCAAAGGACACTTCTCCCAACTTAATGTGTGTGTTGTCAATGTTTTGGAATTTAGCCATTCTAATATGTATGTAGTGGTATCTCATTATTATTTTAATGTGCAATTCCCTAGTAGTGTATGATGCTGAGCATATTTTCATATGTTATTTTCCATCTTTATATCTAGTTTGGTTAGGAGTATATTCGGAGGTTTTCCTAATTTCTAATTGGGTTGTTTGTTTTCTTATGGCTGAGTTTTAAGTATTCTTTGAATATATGTATATATATACACACGCACACACATACACACTCATATATATGTTAATTTTTAATTTTTGTGGGTATATAGAAGTATATATTTAAGGGATACATGAGATGTTTTGGTACAGGCATACAATGAGTAATAATTTCATCAGGGTAAATAGGTAAATCACCTCAAGGTTTTATCCTTTCTTTGTGTTACAAATAATGTAATTATACTCTTTTAGTTATTTTTAAATGTACAATAAATTATTGTTGACTGTAGTCACAATGTTATGCTATCAAACTTGATCTTATTCATTCTATATAACAGTATTTTTGTATCCCTTAGCCTTTCCCTCTTTCCTCCTCCACTACCCTTCTCAGACTCTGGTAACTACCCTTCTACTCACTATCTCCATGAGTTCAATTGTTTTAATTTTTAGCTCCTACAAGTGAGTGAGAACATGTGAAGTTTGTCTTTCTATGCCTGGCTTATTTCACTTAACACAATGATTTCCAGTTCCATCCATGTTGTTTCAAATGACAGGATATCATTTTTTAAATGTGTCAATTGTACTCCATTTTATATGTACATGTATTATTTGTATATTTTGGATAACGGCCATTTATTAGATGTCTTTGCAAATATATTCTCCCAGTATGTGGCTTTTCAAACTCTCACGACAGTGTCTTTTGCAAAGCAGAAGTTTTAATTGTAATAAAATCCAATGTATCATTTTTTAAAATGAATCATACTTTTGGTATTTTATCTAAAGTTATCACCAAACACTAGGTCATCTAGATTTCCATGTTTTCACAAGGACATGTTTTTGGAAAACATACCTTATTTTCTTACTAGGTATGATTCTTTCAGTTGGTGCCAATATTCGGAGTGCAAATCCAAGTTACATTCAGGTATAATGGGTGTGGGAATTTAAATTACAAAACCAATATTATTTTCATCCTTTTCACAGTACCATCTCACCTTAAAATCCTGAGGTTTCACATCTCTAGTGACACCCTCTGTTCTGAAGTGACAAAGTGTAGCTTGATTAATATGGGATCAGGAGTTAATCCCATTTAATTCTAACAGGGAATTAGCATCCAGAATACACAAGGAACTCAAACATCTCAAGAGCAAAAAAAAAAATAATGTGATTATAAAATGGGCAAATTATCAGGAGTTTGAGAGAGTTTAAGAATAAACAGAAAATGCCAAACAAGTTTTGGTATACTGATAGTATCGCCATATAGGGCCTGCCTTATCTCCTTGAAGACCTCACTAATTCCACAGCAGAATCAGATTTTTATAAATCAAATAAATGTTATTATCCCTTATTTTGATGATTAAAATAAACTCTTCGTATAATTTAACAATTAAAATATGCAAAGTTTTGAAATTGGCATACAAGTTTCTTTAATAGATGAGTATTCTGTTCAGAAATGTATTTTGCAAAAATTGATAACTTTTACTACTTTATCCAATCATTTTTATTAGATTTTAGAGTTCATTCTAATCATCACATCCTGAGAATATTCATTATTTCTGAGCAAGCTATTTTTCTTAGTCTATCCAACACTGGGAAAGCAGCATTTTTTTTCTTTGTTCACTTGAGATTCTATTGAGAAATTATGTATAACCTCTCTTCATGTGGTGTTTTACTGTGCAAATTTGTTTTTCTACCCCAGGTTCTTTTCCTTTATATATTCAATTTTATATTAATGAAGGGAGGTGAGCATGACAAAACAAATGAAATGTACAATGTTTCCATATAGCATTCACAAGACCAGATCTTTCTTTCTTCATTCCACTTTTTTTTTAGAAAGTAAAAGTGGTCTGATTTTGCATCCCAATGCACAGGAACAGAAAGAAAACACATGTATATCTAAATGTGATAAAAATACAAGGATCACAAATTTAAAAAGGAAATTAAAACATATATTAAGATAAATGAAAATTTAAACAAAACATTCCAAATGTTTTGGAAACCAGTACTAAGTGGAAAATTTACAGCTGTAAAAGCATACACTTTTACATACACTTTTACAACTATAAGAACATAAATAGAAGAGATTCAATCAACAACCTAACTTTAAACTCTAAGTAGAAAAAGAACAAACTAAATCATAGCTAAGAGAAGGAAGGAAATAATAAAGACCTGAGCAAAGTTAATGAAATAGAGCATGGAAAAACAGAAAAAAATTAACAAAACTGAGTTAAATTTTTGAAAAAATTTACAAACCCTTAACTAGATTATGAAAAAAGAGACATAACTCAACAAAAACTAGAAATTCAAGAAAAGAGATTACAACTGATGGTACAAAATGTGTCCAGAATTGGTGGGTTCTTTGTCTCGGTGACTTCAAGAATGAAGCCACGGACTCTCGCAGTGAGTGTTACAGTTCTTAAAGATGGTGTGTGCGGAGTTTGTTCCTTCAGATATTCAGATGTGTCTGGAGCTTCTTCCTTGTGGTGGGTTCGTGGTTTCACTGACAGGAGTGAAGATGCAGACCTTCGCAGTGAGTCTTACAGCTCTTAAATGCAGCACGTCTGGAGTTGTTCCTTCTTCCTGGTGGGTTCGCGGTCTGGCTGGCTTCAGGAGTGTTAACAGCTCATAAGTGTTAACACCTCATAAAAGCAATGTAGACCCAAAGAGTGAGCAGCAGCAAGATTTATCCTAAAGAGCAAAAGAATAAAGCTTCCACAGTGTGCAAGAGGACGACAGCCGGTTGCGGCTGGTTGGAGCCAGCAGCCTGCTTTTATTCCTTTATCTGGCCCCACCCACATCCTGCTGATTGTTCCATTTTACAGCGAGCTGATTGGTCTATTTTACAGAGAGCTGATTGGTTCGTTTTACAGAGAGCTGATTGGTCCATTTTGACAGAGTGCTGATTGGTGCATTTACAATCCCAGAG